GACAATACTGATTTTGATGGACCAAGGGTCCGATTCAGTATCAGGCAGCTTCACGTGTTCATGTGTTCAAGTAATGTGATGACCAGACTTAGTTCTCTAAAATGATACTAGAAGTCGTAGAAGAAAAAAAGCCATATAATAATGATAAACACTTAATATTTATACAGCTTATTTTAAAGGATTCACATACATTATCTCAACAATCTTTCCAGCCACTATTTATGATAGACTAATAGTTTTACCATGTTGCAGATGGAGTCTGAGAAATAGGCAAGGAATGTGGCTTTCTTAAGGCAACCCAGGAAATTCATGCCAACGGGAGCTCCAAACTAGAGGCTCCTTTAGGCTACTATTTAGCAAAAAACAAGGATCCAGGCATGGATATTCTAGTGTTTCATCCAGTTTTACTTTGAAACACAGGCTTATAACTGCAGTGGACTAGACTTCTTCCAGCCCACCTGATTTTGTTTTGGGTGTGCAACCCACTGTATTTTGCACAAATTCATTAAAAAGATGGAAATGCATGAAGAAGTCACTACACAAGCAGTGCAAAAATTTAATTCTGTTTGCATTCTTCATTCATTATTTATTTACACAAAATTGTACAGCCCACAGACTAAATCTTTTCAGGTTCATGAGGCAGCTCACAAACATACAAAGGAAATATAAATACAATAAAAAGATTAAAACTCACAGACTGAAAACCATGATAGTAAAACCCTTTATAAAAAGCCATCAGTTAAAAGTTAAAGAGCTGGGTAAAAAAGAGAGTTTTAGATTAGTGCCTAAAACCAGCAAGGCTAGGTTCCAAATAAACCTTTTACTGGAAGAGAGTTCTATAACTAGGGGCCACCACAGAGAAGGCCCAACACTCCTTACTTCCACAGGTGGAGGCACATGGGAAAGGCCTGTCCAGAAGATCTTAATTGTCAGGAAGGAATCTGTGGGAGATGTTTGTCCTTTAAATATCCTGGCCCCAAACTGCTTAAAGGTAATGGACAGCATCTTGAATTGAATGTGGAAGCAAATAGGCTTCAGGAAGTTGTTTCACAATTGGTGTGATGCAGAGTCAGGCCCAGACAGTAGTCTGCCTGCAGCATTATGTACCAATCGAAGCTTTGAACCCTCACACAGATTACAGTGCAATAATCCAATCTGGGTGTGATTGGAGCATGGACAAGTGGAGCCAAATTGTGCCTGTTCAGAAAAGGCTTATTAACGTGTCACAGAGGAGATCTGTACCTCCATCTGGAACTCAGGGTGAAAAAGTGCTCCTAACTTTTAAATGTACAAGCAAGATCCCATCCAGAATAGGCCATTTGTTAACTTTTTGTAACGTGCATGAAGCTTTTTAGCCGCTCCTAGGAAGAAAATGAACCAGTCTGATCTTTTCCTCCCAAACGTAACTTACAATCCAGCCGCCTCCATCCGTGTCCATGTCACACAGCACGGTCAGTGGCACACAGTCCCAGGGGTAGATGGTGTACCAGCCACTCAGGATCACCCCCTTGGCCAAGAGCTCTTTGCAGTTCTTTGCCCCTAGATGGAAGAGGAAAGCAATATTTGTGTACGGCGATTGTACAATTCACAGATTTTAACTTTGTGGGACAGCCAGCTGAGAATAAAGAAATAACACTCTCTGAATCAATATTGGGCAGGGGGGAAGCTGGGGGAAACAAAAGGTTTCTGCTGGAAGTCGACAAGGGCTGGTCAACTGAGGCAAGAGAACAAAGGCATTTCTGCTGTCCAGAGCATGCATTGCTGTACCAGATGTGACTTTTGACTGTGAAGAGGTTCTGGGGAAACACTTACCTTGCCTACAGTGGAAGTCATCCAGCCCTTTTTCTCCTGTGTAAAAGGCACAGCAAGAGAAGGAAAGGAAATCAGACTAGAAATAAACAACTCCTCTGCCATACCATGTTTTCCATCCTGCAACTCACTCTCTGGCATTTTGTCCACAAGAGTCATAAAAGCATCTAGAACTCTTCCCATTCATTTCGATAGGGCTTGCTCAGGAGAACTCCCCAATGGACCATGCCCATTGATTTTATTTCTCAGATGCATGATCCATTTTCTCCCCTTTAGACCCACTGCTCACCTACCAAGTCAGCTAGCAATTGAGGGAAGCCCAACAGGACCTCTGGCTGCTACACACTTGCCTGGAAATGCCCACAGTTGCATGGGGGTGTTCAGCCCCTGACAAGCCACAGCATATAGATGATGGACTCAGAAGACCCCGTGCTGTCACACCAGCTTCAGCCTCTGGGAAGTTCACACATTTGTAGCTCAAAAAATTAAAGTATGAATGGGGGCCGTGGAATTTCAGTTCCGCATGGTCTGGGGACTTTGGAATTGTGCTTCTCAAACTGCAGGTCCTGGTGCTGTATCGAAATGCTGCCCAGTTTCAAAAGCAGTTTGCCTTGCAGCAATTTGTGTGTAAACGGGTCCACATTTCAGAAACACAAAACCAAAGCCCCCATCAGAACTCAGAACTAATGGTCCATTTTAGAATATAAACACAGCATTTTAAAATACAATGCCAGCTCCCACATATCCCCAGGGATTAACATTTTTTGTTCAATCTAACAAGAATTACATTCCTACTACTATTTCTCCATGTTTACTAATACTTCTTTTGCTGATTTTTCCCCACCCTCATTCTATTTGAAAGTTTCTTGGCTGACTCACTTACTTCACATGTGCTGTAAACCCGAGATTGTAGTGAATACAAAAGACAGAGGTGCTTACCACCTAATGTTCCTGGGGGGCCTGGCTCTCCTTTGTCCCCTGACAATGAAAGCATAAACATAATGTTACTTGCAGTCTCCACATCTCCGAACAGCTAGAAGTCCCATGGTCAGCACTGCCTGGGTTGAGTTCCTTTGGAAGAGAAAGGACTAGAGTCTTATTTATTTATCTGAAACATTTAAAACTCCAGAGTCAGGACTCCAAGGCAGCAAATGATCATTTTTATCATCATCATTATCATTGTCATAGACCAACATTCAATACAATAGGAGGCAAATAACAGATAAAAGAATAGTAAAATTATAAAATATAATAGCATCTAAAATTATAAATAGGAATCTAAAAAGTTTAAAATACAGAAATGTAGATCAAAAATAAAAAATAAAAAATAAATCTTTGTTGTTCAGTCGCGCAGTCGAGTCCGACTCTTCGCGACCCCATGGACCAGCTCCCGCCAGGCCTTCCTGTCTTCCGCCATCCTCTGAAGTTTGCTCAATTTCATGTTCGTTGCATCTATGACACTGTCTAACCATCTCATCCTTTGCCATCCCCTTCTTCTTTTACCTTCAATCTTTCCCAGCATCAGGGTCTTCTCCAGTGAGTGCTCCCTTCTCATTTGGTGGCCAAAGTATTTGAGCTTCAGCTTCAGTATCTGGCCTTCCAGGGAACAGTCAGGGTTGATTTCTTTTAGGATTGACTTATTTGATCTTCTTGCAGTCCAAGGGACTCTCAAGTGTCTTCTCCAGCACCATAAAATAAATCTAGGCCTATATGTACTTCTTTATCTCTTTTCTAGTTTGGTATGCCAACCAACCAAATTTGGCAGCCATCCTAGTCAGGTTTTGATTATCACCTGCCAGCATAATTGACAAAAGTATCCTTCTACTACGACCTGGGTAGGAGTTAACAATAAGCTTAATCTAAACTTTCCTAATGTTATGATATATACTACAATTGAAAATTACATGTTCCAATGTTTCATCAGTTCCCATCTCACATATACAGCTTTTCTTCAGTGATCTAGTAAATCTGGCCTCCAGTATAGTTGAGGGTAAGGCATTATATCTTAATAGAGTAAAAAATCTTCTATGATTACAGATATCTAAATATTTGATGTAAGGTCTCAAAATTATCTTGTTAAGTGTACTTACATCAAAAACAGAAGGGACCTTTATATATTTATTTGAAACATTTTAAACCCCAGATTCAGGACTCCAAGTCAGCAAACAATAAAAACAATAACACACATTAAAAACACAGATATATACAAAACAATTAAAACAGACATAGACACAAAAACAGGAAGGAAGGTCAATAAGAATCAGTAAGGGAGTGCCAAACAAAACGAAACAGTCTTGTGGTGTCTTTCTTATGTTGGATTTATTTACAGCTGTTCAAGTACAGAACAGGCAGTGGCCAAGAGGAGCCTATAGAGCAGCTGATCTCTCCACTTCATCAAACAGCCGGAGCTGGAGAGGTCTGCACCACACAGCACCTCAGGTGACTCACAGAGCTGTCCATTGGCTTTTCTCTCTTTCTCCAAACTCATAACTTCCCCCCTCTCCCACCCCCTTTCCCACACACCTGCCCCTACCTGCCCCTTTCCCTCAGGCGGGATGGGTTACCTCCATGGATATTTAACAAGGAAGCCAGAGGACTCTCACTCATCTGCTAGCACCCACTGGTGAAACATCCTTCAACAATTCTGAATCATCAGATTCACAAAGAAAAGGTCAGATAGCATCCTCGCAGTTGGGTTTCCCCCAAGAGAAGTTTTAGGTCTATCCTTTCACAAAACCAGCATCATTGGAGGCATTGCCATGTGTAACCCAAGAATTCCTTACCTTTTGGGCCAGTAGGACCCACATCACCTTTCTCTCCTGGTTAAAGGGAAGGAAAAAGAGGAAGGGATTAGCAAAAGATGGCGGTCATTTGGCTGGGAAAGTCTGAGATGCTAGCTGGAGGGTACCTCAATTGTGTCCATCTGACAGCTGTAGACTCTGTCAAGAGCCTCAGGATGTGGTTGAATTCTGTGCCATGGTAACACAGCATTTTTTCACCTACATCAGGTCTGCCAACTAGCTCCTTATTTGTCTGGGTCAGACCTTTCCACATTGATCCATGCAACAGTCACCTCCAGATTGGACTACTGCAATTCCCTCTTTGTAGGGCTACCCTTGAAAATAATTCAGAAACTGCAGATGGTCCAGAATGTAGTTGCCAAGTTGCTGACTGGAACACCATGGCCAGCTCGTATTATTCCTGTTCTGGGCAGCTGCACTGGCTACCAATTAGTCTTTGGATCCAATTCAAGGTGTTGGTGTTAACCTTTAAAGCCCTTAATGGTCTGGGACGAGGGTACCTACAGGACCGACTCTCCCATTACAACTCCCCGCGCTCCCTTAGGTCATTGTCTAGGGTCCTCTTGCAGGTGCCTGGCGTCAGGATGGCTTGGTTAGCTGTCACCAGAAGGGTCTTCTTAGTTGTGGCCCCTACCCTGTGGAATGCATTCTCAGATGATACCGTGCCCTGCCAGACTCGTTTAGTTTTTGCAGATCATGCAAAGCCGAATTGTTTATGTTGGCCTTTGGAGGGTAACCACATATTTGGCCTATTTTAATACTGATATGATGTTAGCAACATATTTTAATAATTTAATATTTTAATGTTAATCCCTCTATATAATAATTCTGTTTTGGTCATGGACTCTCCTGAACATTCCACACGCTCCCAAATCAGTTAGCTCCCTGGTCTGTCACTCAGAAGCTGTCCCTATCCACTGGCTGCGTTGCCTGAGTCTTGCCTCCAATATTCTAAACAGTTTGCTGTTTATCTCCCCCCAATAGCCAGTCAGAACATAGAGGTCATTTGCATATGTGGCCTGATTGGCCTTTGCCTCTAACATTCTAAACATTTTCTTGTTGCTGTTGGGAGTCATTGAATGTGTCCTGAGGTAAAATACATATCCCAATTTTCCCTTAAACAGTCACTGGAGTTGCCAAAATACATATCCCAATCTTCCCTTAAATGGTCACTGGAGTTGCCAATCTCCTTGTGGGGCGTGGAGATCTCCCAGAAATCACCATGTTTCCCAGCCACAGCACATCATTTCCCCTACAGAAAATTTCCCAGCTATTACAATGGCTGCTTTGGGCGGTGGACTCTATGGCATTATACCCTGCTGAAGTCCCTCTGCACCCCAAACCCTGCCCTCCCCAGGCTCTACCCCTCAGATCTACAGGTCTGGCCCTCCCCTTAGTATTGCCAGCCTCCAGGCAGCACCTGGAGATCTCCAAGATCAGTGCTCCTGGAGAAAAAAGCTGCTTTGGACTGTATGGAATTATACCCTGCTGAGGTCCCTCTGCACCCCAAACCCTGCTCTCCCCAGGCTCTACCCCTCAAATCTACAGGTCTGGCCCTCCCCTTAGTATTGCCAGCCTCCAGGCAGCACCTGGAGATCTCCAAGATCAGTTTTCCTGGAGAGAATGGCTGCTTTGGGCAATAGACTCTATGGAATTATACCCTGCTGAGGCCCCTCCGCAACCCAAACCCTGCCCTCCCCAGGCTCTACCCCTCAAATCTACAGGTATTTTCCAACCCAGAGTTGGCAACCCTGTAACTGGCTATGGAACTACTTTCCAGACCCTTGGAACCAAGAAGACATGGCATAGGTGCTTTTCTACCTTAGCTGCCACTGCATAACCCCAAATCAACATAAGTCATGGGTGGAAGGAATCATACCTGTTACCATGAGACTGTCCTCCCATACTACCCACTTGGGGCAGCAAAATGATTTGAGACAGCCTTGCCTTATAGCTAAGCAGAAGGAAATAAACAGGGCTTGCCTCCCTCTATTTTCCCCTTCTCTCTGCCGCCCCACCAGCCACAGCTGGGACACTCACCTGGAGCTTCCTTCTAGAGCTCGTTGTAATTCTTCCCACAATGGGCCTTACTCCTAGTATTTTATATTTGTTATTTGTTTTTATGTTGTTTTACCTTATTGGTTTTAATGCTGTAAGTCTCCATAAGAGCCTTCGGGTAAGTGGCGACTAAAATATCTAATTAATAAATAAATATTTCTTAGGTGACCCAGAACCAAAAAGAGTTGGTGGAGGATATATAACTGATGGCGAAAATGAGCCACTAAGTGAACTGCAGAAAAGAAATGAACATCAGGGGTGTCCATTAGAGTATATCCTGGCTGAAAATATACCCCAAAATCACTGTTTAGGGTTGCTTGGATATACCCAAAGTGGCCCAAAACATTCTGAAAGTCTGGGAGTAACAGAAATTAATCTCACATTTCTCATTTTCCAATCCAACCATGGTGAATATAAGTTCCCAATTCTGGGTAGAAGTATCTAAGACAGGGGTGTCAAACATGTGGCCCATGAGCCAGACCAGGCCCCCGGAGGGCTTCCATCAGGCCCGCAGTGGAACTGGCCATCTCCTGCTTCCAGTTCTGCTGCTGCTGCTGCATCATAGCTTGCTTCGCTAGACTCTCTTATTGACTCGGCCATTTTATGTTTTAACCTGTGTCCTAGACACAGAAATCTCTGAGCATGAGATTTCTGTGGTGAATGTCAATAAATCAAAAGTAGGTTTGCGGCTTACAGAGCTAATGTTTTAAGCATGTTTTTATTTTAAGTTTTAAAAAACCCTTGTGTTTGTGTCCTCTATAAAGTTTATATCAACGCTACCTGGCATTACATTTTATGGCACACATGGCCCGGCCCAACAAGGTCTCATTTATGTCTGATCTGGCCCTCGTAACAAATGAGTTTGACACCCCTGATCTAAGAAGTGTGCCTCCACACATGTTAAGTCTCTCAGCTCTTGCTTATACCCAGAATTTAACTTTATTGGTCTTGGAGGTGCCACTGGACTCAAACTGAGTTCTCCCATCTGTTTGTTAACTCTTGTTTTTGTATGCTAGTTTACTGCTATTCACAGATCTTACCAACCGCTTTAATCCAATCTCAGCTACAATCACCCAGTTACTTATGCAACTTGACCCTAACTAACCCTTCCTGGCAAATTACCCCCCACACCCTCTCTACATATATGTAATGGTTAAGGACGTCTTGCTTCACTGTATCTGACGAAGTGTCCATGCACATGAAAGTTTATACCTTGAATTAAACTTAGTTGGTCCTAAAGGTGCCATTGGACTCAAACTTTGTTCTGCTGCTTCAGACCAACATGGCTACCCACCTGAATCTAGTGATATAGTTAGGACACAATCTCTGTGTTTCCTCTTTTTCTAAATTATTTTTTAATTTTTTAATTTTAATTTTTTTATTTTTAAAAATACAATAACAATTAGCATTACAATAGTTCTCAGGTAGAATAATTAACCAGAGGTCGAGAGGGTTAATAGAGATCATTTTGTACTATTACCAACATTATATATATCATATCAAATGCATTACCTTTGCAATTTCTGGAATTTCTCCTTGTACTCTTAAATATTCTAAAATAGAATTCCAAATGGCTATAAAAGTAGGGTTTATTTTTTCATCTGGTTTATGCGCCAAATCAGGTGAAATCTTGGGCATCATAAAGTGTGTCCACAATTTATTATGCCATAATGTCAATTTTGGAATCTCTGGATCTTTCCACTTTGAAGCTATAGCTGACTTGGCTGCTGACAGGAGGGCAATCAAAGTTTCTTTAATGTGAAAAGGTAAGTTCACACCAAAGTCTACATGTAGAAGCAATACCAATCTATTGAATTGTACTTAAATACCAGTAATACCTTTAATGTTATTGATAATTGATTTCCAGAACGGTTCTAGCTTGGGACAACTCATCCAACAATGGAGGTAGTGCAGTGTCCAGTATTGCCACACTTTTTCCAGCATTTAGCTGTATTTTTTAAATTATAGTAAGTCTATGTGGAGTATAGTACCATAGTGCAAGGAGTTTGAAATCTCAGAGGTGAATAGTTACAATAGAGGAATTAAAGGTAGAGTTGTTCCAGACAGAACTCCAAGTTTCCACATTCCATGATGTTTTAATTTCATTTTCCCAAAAAAATTTATAAGGAAAGTAAGTATTAGATGAAGTATTTAGAATAAGAGCATATAAGAAAGAAATCAGATGTTTTTTCTTACTAGAGTTTTGCAATAAGTTTTCTAATTCTGAAAGTGGGAGTTGCACTATCAGTTCTAACTTCATTGACTCACTTAAGTGTTTAATATGAATGTAAGTAAACCATTGAAGTGAATGACCCAATTTATTTTCCAGTTTCTGCTTAGTAATAAGCCATCTGTTTATTATTAGGTCTGATAGTCTTGTAATATTATGTTCTTTCCAGGAGTTAAACACCAGATTCCTGCACCCTGGAGGAAACCAGGATTGGGAGGCATGCGTCGTATTAGGTAAGAGATTCTGTCTAGATATATCCCATTCTTCTTTACTATCAAGTATGTTAGTTCCTGAATAAACTATCTACACTTTACTCAGGTTGTGCACCTTTGTTGTGTTTATTATTCTGCCAACACCTACCCTGTTTGCCGATTACCTTTCTCATAAAAATGCAACAATCTGCATGTTACCTTGTACACCACCAGGTGCAATTTCTCCTGGGGTTCCTTGAAGGCCTTTCTCTCCTACATGGAAAAAACAAACAGGGGTAAGCAATTAAGCAACGATTTAAACCAGTTATAGTCTTTAGGGTAGAATTTAACTGCCTTAAAGTTCCGACAGGCAAACAACCACTCCTGGTCCAGACCTGCAAGCAAACTTTGGCTGTATGAAAGCAAAGAACTGCTTTTTTCTAGGCTGGATACTAGGGCTTAGAAAAAAGGAGGAGGAGAAGGTGTTAGATTTATACCCCACCCTTCACTTGGAGTCTCAGAGTAGCTTACAATCTCCTTCCCTTCCTCTCCCCACAATGGACACCCTGTGAGAGGTAGGTGGGGCTGACAGAGCTCTAAGAGAACTGTGACTGACCCAAGGTCACCCAGCTGGCTGCATGTGGAAGAGTGGGGAATCAAATCTGGTTCTCCAGATTAGAGTATGTCGCTCCTACCCACTACACCAGACTGGGAGGGGAAAGCTGTGCAAACGTTTTTAAAAAGAGACTCTCCAGCTGACATGCAAGAGAGAAAACTCCTTTCTTCTTCTATTATTCATTTGTACTGCATATTTGCAATATAATGATGAAAAAGTATCAACTAAAACAGGGTTTTCAGTCCAATACCTAATAGTTACCTACAAAGAAAAAAGTAGAAGCCAACCCTGGTCCACCTTGGCTGCCTCTCTCGTAGGGCTGATGAAGTCGCAGGTTGCACTGGAAGTGACAGAGTGGCGATGGGACACCACCGACTGCCCCCATTTCCTTTCTGATGCCCAGCTGAGCAGAGGCAGGAAGGGTCGTGGTGTGGGTGGGAGTGCCCCACTAAAGTGGGAGCCCTGGCAAGAGCCTGCACCTCTGCCACCCAAAAATCAGCCTCTAGATAAGGGCCTGGAGATCCTCCAGAATGACACCCGATATCCAGACTAAATAAGACATGTAGCAGCCCAGGCACAGAATCAGTGGGGGGCTGCAGGACCGCAGAGGCACCCACCTGAAGCAAGGGAGCGGTGGGATGTGCCACTCCTAGGAGCCAACAGCTATTTTACTGGCGCAGGGGTGTGCGCCTGCTGGCCCCAACATCTCCACAGCAACAATTGGGCCCTTCCTATACGCCTGGTGGGGCAAGGCCAGCCCAGAACTGCTGAGAACACCAGTTTCAGAGAGGATGTGGTTGCAACAGTGCTGGTGCGTTCACCCAGACAAGAGAAGGGAGCTTGGGAGGCTAGGGTGCCAACAACCTGGAGGAAGAAAACCCTGCCTTTTTGACTTAATGGGATACTATTGGGAGAGCCAGTTTGGTGTAGTGGTTAAGTCCGTGGACTCTAATCTGGGAGAACCAGGTTTAATTCCCCACTCCTCTACTTGCAGCTGCTGGATGACCTTGGGCAAGCTGTAGTTCTGTCAGAGCTGTTCTTGAACGAGCAGTTCCCAAAAGAGTTTTCTCAACCCTGCCTACCTCACAGGCTGTCTGTTGTGGGGAGGGGGGGGAGGGAAAGGAGATTGTAAGCCGCTCTGAGACTCCAAGTGAGGGTGGGGTATAAATCCCATCTTCTCTGATTCTATTTGCCTGGTGGTATTATTTACCTCCATGCCATGGAAAGCTTCATTAAACATCTGAGAAAGGGGCAGGACATTTTTCTCCAGGTGGTTGGTCACCCTGTGGGAGGGGAACAGCCAGCAAACCGGGCAGGGACTGGGGATAAAGGGGGCAGAGAAGGAGAAGAAGGGGGCAACAACAGAAAAGAAGCTGGAGCTGGAGGGCACTAGGGAGAAGGAACAGAAGAAAGAATGGGCGGGAGCCAAAGACCCAACTAAGTTCTCATGAAAGAACTCTGGTGCCCTCTACTGGTCCCAGTGGATAAAACAATGTATACTAGAGTCAGGTGGGTAGCTGTGCTGGTCTGAAGCAACAGAACAAAGTTGGTGTCCAGTGACAACTTTATCTGAAGAAGTGTGCATGCACACGGAAGCTTATACCCAGAATTAGTCTTTGTGTGTGTATATTCTGGATGAATCATTAAAGATGTACCTACAGCTGCAACTGGTCCTGGTGTTTCTTCATGGAGGGGCTTTTTTTAATATGTCATTGGCTCGGGGCGGGGGGCGGGGACACACAAGAAACCACGTACTCCAGGAGAAATGGAAGTTCTAAATCAGCTGCAGAGAATGGATGCTCTAGGACTTCCATTTCTCCTATGTTATACCATAGAAACTCTACAGTCTACTGTAGAAATTGGGAGAAACTGTTTGATAGCTGCCTTTAAAGACACAAAAGGATAGAGGTGGGCTGGGAATGGAGAGAGGGATGAGCCTACTCTTGGCTGGTGTCGTTTTGCAGCTCCTCAGATGGGATTCATTACCTTAACACTGACACAAGGTTGACTGGTACAAGCCAGAACAATTACATTTATAATCTGAATGTTGGTGGGCAGAAATGCCCTCATGGGAAGGGGAGGGGTTGACTTTTGACCTCCATGGAGCATCAAAGGATATGGCAGCACATCCTTGCTGAGCTTCCTCCTCAGGCTTCACCCTCCCCCCCCCAGGCACTGCCTCCAGACCTCTGAGAGATTCTCAAACCAGAGATGACAACCCTGGCTGTGATTCCGGGAGAACTCCTGGTGGCTGGTCCTTGCCGGCTGTGGCTGGATCCCTCTTCGCCCCCACCTTGCCTCATCCTGGGTCATAACTACTTCTTGTCCTGTAGTGCACACAAACTGGGTATTTTACAGCATGGCTCTTGGACCAGTCTCAGCCCCAAAGTCTTGTTTTTAAACAACTCTGGCATCTACATAATGACATACCTTTTGCACCATTAGTTCCTGGGTCTCCTTTTGGCCCTGTCGCACCAGGTACGCCTGGACATCCTCGGAGGATGGCGAGCTTTTCATTACCATTCAGGCCCACAATGCTCACATCTGCAGAGAAATGATGATATTTACAATGAACCTTCTGACATGCAGCATATCCAGCAAAGCTTGAACTCCAGAAGTTTAAATCCTCATATAAAGCAACACAGAAATGTGGGATTTCTATACAGACACTCACACAGGCGTCTGTTAAGCAAATGTCAGTTCTCTTAAGTTTCTACTTCTCAGATCATAGAAATAGTGAGGGGCAGCATCCTTTGTTGTATTGGTCACAAAATAAAAGACTCATTTTAAAAGGACCCAGAAGACTGTTATAAAATAGGCAGCATAATAGGGGAGGGGGAAAGCTCAGCTGTATTTCTACAAAAAAAAAACCCCACCGCACCCAAGACTGCACTAAGAATTCTTTGAGCAATTGATTGCCTGGCGATTTTCGTCATTAATCTTTTTAAATTCACACCTAGTATTAATGTATATTTTGAAAACCTTAAAATACAATGGATTGGATTAGTGAGATGATTTTTTTTGAATTGCTAAACACGTCATAAACTACCAACCAAATGCACTTTGAGCATTATAGCACCTTGCACAAATGATGATGGGAGGGCAAAAGTGGGAGACATTTTTCCAAATATTTGGCAGCCGAAGACATCATGTATACGTGAAAATATCACAGTGGAATGTGCTGAGTAAACTGATCACTGGGGGTTGGACTAGATGACCCTGGATGTCCCTTCTAACTTTATGATTCTAGGATTCTATGAGAATTGATGAAACTAAATCCATTACTGGTCCTACCTGCACAAAGGAGATAATGGGAGTAAATACTCCTAACTTTCTGGAAAACTGCTAAATGTTTTGCCATCAGTTGGTCTAGCATTTCTGCTCATTTGGGCACAGTAGATTTTTAAAAGAGATTTTTTTCAACTTCAAAAGGAGGCCTTAATGACTGTTGTAGATTGGGTCCATCCCAAACTATGGCAGCAAGAATGAATAAACATTTTTATAGTAAATGTGAGCTTCCACAAATCTGCAGAGCAATGCAGATTAGCAACGTCCGTAGTCCACCATAGCTACTCTCCTCAGAGGTCCATCAGTGGCTATTAGCCACAAGATATAGATAGGAACTCTCAGTCTGGGGCAAGTGATGCTCTGTATTCTTGGTGTTTGCGGGGGTCAACAGTGGAAGAGCTAGTCCTGGCCACAATGGTGGACCTCCTGATGGCACCTGGTATTTTTGGCCACTGTGTGACAGAGTGTTGGACTGGATGGGCCATTGGCCTGATCCAACATTGCCTTCTGTTACGTTCTTTTTTAAAATTCACAGTTTATTAATGTTTATAGAGAACAATAATACAAAATATTAATTTTCCAACAGTCTATTACATTATTCACCTCCTTTATTAATAGAAAGTGTTCTCTGGCTCTTCCACTTACTCCTATTATACCTAATTGCTAAACAAGGATTACTTCCTTTTGTGACTCCTATTATCTTGTGCCACACCCATTACATTTGCTGTTATGTTCTTATGTGTTCTTATGTTCTCACCCAGCCACTTCCCTTGTCTTGTCTCAGTCTGCAGCAATATATAGTCTGGAAGTCCATCCAATTCATTAAATTGGTCAGCTGGTGCCTCTTAAGGGTTTTATGTATTAATACTGTATTGTGATTGTTTTTATGAACGGTATTCTATTTTAAATTTTTGTACGTTTTAGTATATTGTAATCCTTCCTGAGCCTGCTGTGCAGAAAAAGGAGGGCTAAAAGTAAAAAAATAATTAAAAAAATAAACTTGTATATTGACTGCAACATTTCAACAAAATCCGATACAGTAGTTCAATCCCCAAACAGTGGTTAATTTGTGGGGAAATGCTGTGCCCGGAATCTGTGGCATGCAAAGGAGGGGATCTACCATGACAGAGCCACAGTCTCTCCCCAGAGTGAGTGAACAGGGTGTGTAAGCCAAACAGTGGGTCAGGAGAGAAGGTGGTAGAGCTCTGACTCCCTCTCTCATGCCCAGGTTGGAATCCTTGTTCTGCCACTGAAGATTGCTGGGTGACCTTGGATGACTCACACACGCTCAGCCTCACCTACCTCGCAGGGTTGTTGTAAGGATAAAATGGAGGAGAGGAGAATGCGGTAAGCCACTTTGGGTTTCCAGCAGGGAGAAAGCCCAGGTATAATTGAAACAAATAAATATCAAAATCAACTCACACTCACGTTTTGACACCTGACCTGACATTCCTACAATTTTGCATTAAAATGAGTTTATATTCTTTGTCATTCATGCTTTTTCTTTGAGGGTGCAGAAATAACACCGGGTCCAAAGACCTGTAATTATTTTCAAACACTTCTTTGACATATAGTTAAAGACTAACATTTGAAAATATTAAGAGTTTCGGGTTGAAAGAATGGAAATCTAGCCTGATGCTAAATCAGAGCCGGATTTCCTTTCAGCTTCCGTTACAGGGCAGATCACCTCCCCTAAACTACAGCAGCTCTCCCTGGTCCCAGGTTACCCTGTTTAAGACTCACCTGGACAGGTGTCAGTTGCATTCCCGGGAGCTACTGCTGTCATCAGAGAGAGCAGTAAAATGAAAATGTGTTCTGCGTTCTTTGTCATCGCTTCAGCTTCAGTGTGGATAATTTTTCTATCTGCAGTGTCCTGAGTATTTAAGAACTGACAGGGCCGGGTTTTGTTTTTTTCTTTTTTAAAAAAAAGAAGATATTGCTACACTTCAGGACTCTGCCTCACTGCCCCTTCAGGGGAATTCCCCACTGGCCAGACTCCACTTATGTAATTCTTCCTGCTACCAGCATCATTTTAAGAAGCAAAACAGCCATTGGGAGGCTGATATGAGTTACTAGTGGAGAGAAATGCAAGTGGAGAAAAATTGAGAGACAACATGGTCAAGATTTCCATGGCACCAAACAAGCACATAGGTAAAGGTAAAGGTTCCCTTGCTCGAAAGCCAGTCGAATCCGACTCTAGGGTTGCGGTGCTCATCTCCGTTTTAAAGCCAAAGAGCCAGCGCTGTCCGAAGACGTTTCTGTGGTCATGTGGCCGGCATGACTAAACGCCGAGGCGCACGGAATGCTGTTACCTTCCCACCAAAGAGGTACCTATTTATCTACTTGCAATCTCTTGCTTTCGAACTGCTAGGTTGGCAGGCACATACACACATACATACCCAGCAGTTCGCTGCTCCTGATGACAGCCTTCTATGGCTGCTTTTCATTTTACAATATCACCACAAACTGGTATGAAGAACTGCAAAAGTGCCTGCCATCAAACGTGGCCCAGCCCACAAACGCAGCCTTCAAGTTTTCATTCATTCCTTACATTTCTATCCCAGCTTTCCTCCCAGGAGCTTCTGGTGGTGTGATCCTGTGTCTCATGAAATTCCCCTTCCCCTTTACTCCTTCCTCCTCTGGCCACCCATCGCATGGCATGGGTAACTATTGTCTGGGTGCTGGACCAGACTGATCTAGACTGCAACCACTATCCTGGGAGGAAGCCCCACTGAATAAAATGGGACCTAGGCAGGTGAGGTGTTTTTTTGTTTATTGATAACAATGGGGAACAAAGCAATAAGGAGGAGGAGGAAAAACTGGGCAGGAGACATTCTGTTGCATCAGTTCCTGGGAAATGTTTGATTTAAGCTCAGAAAGAACCTCTTCCTTATTGGGTCTTCAGATGTTTCTTCACCATCCATTCCTGGAAGCCAGGATGGAGCAGCTATGTCAAGTATCTAAGATATTCTCACACTCCCACCTTCAGACACGCTTAGAAAAAGCCAGGCCATGAACTCAGCCTGGAACCGTCCTGCACTGACCTCTCTCTCGGAATGCAGCACGGAGCAACAGGTCCACACATCTTCTCTTTGTGTCCAGCTGGCAGGTGTTGGCTTATGCTGGTGCAGAGCCCCAACGCTGCTGTGCCGCTCTTGGGTGCCAGTGCAGCTTTGTGGCGGTTGTGCACCAGGGCACAGGACTCTTCGCTGGTATCATTGTGGGTGGATCATTGGGCTTGGCCAATGTCCGACCACTCCCTAATGCTTCTCAGCCCTGACAGAGGTGCAAAATTGCATCAAAACTGTAATGCCGCCCACACACTAATAGATAAGCAGGGGTCATTCCCCAAACCTCCTTCCCCCCTTTCCCTCATCAGTAGCTGACAGCCACCCCAGCAATGCCACCTCCTGCACCTGAGCCCACCAGAGTGGCAGTCCAGTACAGGCGGCAGGAGTCGTGGACCACCACCGCCATACCCACTTGTTGCCAGCATCCTCAGCCCTGGCTAGTTGGAAAGGGCACAAAGGGTCCACTAAACATCATTCGGCCCTGTCTACCCTGTTTCATTCTTGTCGGCCTGAAGCAGGTGGCCGGGTCCACGAAACGCCTCGCTGCCGGTATTTGCAATGGATGGGTGTCCTTCAGCACAGGGAAGCAATGTGGGTCAATTTCAGGGGGTCTGCCTCCAGGGAAGCCTGGAAGGGCCGGGTGGGTCCTGGCAGCCTCAGCCCCACTTGGCTATGCTAATGAAGGGAGAGGGTGAGTCTGGGCTTTGTAGGTGGCCACTGGCAAAAAGGAGCAGTGCTACGGCCATTTCGCGCGCCAGGCTTCCAGCTGGTGCCCCTGCCAAAAACGATGTGCCATCTGTACAGTTCCTTCCATGACCTCCAGCTCCTCAATCAAAGTGGCCAGCTGCCCAGAAAGAATTCTGTTCTGTGGAGGTCCTTTGCCAGCAGAAATAAACCCACAAACTGATGAAGCAGAATATTTGCTGTTCACAGCATCTGGGAAGTCGCTGTCACCTCATCCCCCTTTTCAGGGGAACAAACCAAATGTCAAAAAGAGAACTGAAAAGTCTGGAGAGGGCCTGGGAAAGCCCCTATCACTGACCACAGAGGCGTCACAACTTCTTCCCCCAGATGCCCTTGCCCACGTGCCTGCAGCCAGGCTGTGTGGGTGTTGAGCTGAGGGGCACAGACGGGGGTGGGAAGAAGCCTTCCCTTCAGATAGAGACTTTCACCAGTTGTCCTGGGTGCAGCATAGGGCCGGGCATGTGAATGGGTGGGGGGAGTGGCATGTGGGGCGGGGGGTGCTGAGCCCCTACAAACAGGGGTAAGACAATGGGCCACCACTCATCCTGTGACTGCTGGATCATCCCTGCCCAAGGGCACCAGAGGGTGCAGAACCCCAAAAGGCAACCTGGGTAGTAGGGCACCTCCTGCACCAAATATGCTCCCATACTCACTTGTGCTCGATGTGCCCCCTGACATCCTGCCTCACTGCTTCCTCCTCCAACTGTGTATTGTCCTGCCCCCAACCCAGGGACCCCCTGACAAGTCCCCCTATGAGAGGTGGCAGCAGCCACTGGTGGATGGCCATATTCGGATCACTGCAGAAACTATAAAGAGCTTGGCCACTGCCAAGGGCTGCAGGGCCCAGCACCCTCCTGTATGGTGGAGGGAACGGAACCACGTCTTCAGCTGGCTGAATGCCCTCCCGATGACCATGTGTGTCTGGTGGTCGGCTTGATTTGTAGGCTGTGCAATCTGGAAGGATTCAGGAATAGGCAGGCAAAGACAAGGGGCAGAAGACATCAAATTTTGCATGATTCCTGAGCGATGCTGTGTAAATACATGGAAAGGACTTTTATATTTAAAAAAAAAGGCTTGTGTTCTTGCACAATCCCTCTTCAATGCTAGGGATAGGCCTGAAAATCTTAAAAACGGGGAAAGGGGGTGGGTGGGGATTCATGATGGAGGAGGCACAACAATGATTGGAAGGAATTGTGGTAATACATGCCTGGTTTGAAAGGGAAAACGTGGCTAATAGTGGATGATGCTGTGCTATGTGGAATCTTCATTGCAAGTGAGGGCCATAGAAGCAGGCCGTCAGGGAAACAGCTGGCAAAGCGGCCGAGCTTCGCTATCATGAACAATGGGTCAAGCGGATCCTAGCCCTCAGCAATCGGAGGGCTAGGCTCCCGGCCGAGAGCCCATGGAACTCTCAACCACTGTAAATAGCCAGTCACTAGTGTGTGGGGGGGTGTTTGGGGAGTGGGATTGTTGCACATATAAACCGGCCTGTGAACCGGGGAAACTTGTCTTGTTCTGAGCTGAAATAAAGTATGAGAGCTGAAATCGCTAGTAAGTCTCAGTACTTTTCAGTAGAATTAGGTTCTAACCATAGAGTTTTGCCCAAAAACCAGAACGTCACCCCCTGACATCGTGTTTATTTCTGTCTTCCCTCCCCACGGAGGTAATGGGGGGTGGGGAGAGCTGGAAATGAGGGGATCCCCACCCTACTGGGGGACATGGCAACCCTTGGGTGAACTCTATGGCGCTACCTTGCTGAGGTCCTTCCCCTCCCCAAACCCCCCCCCCCAGTTGTGGGAATGGCGCGGCACGTGTCAACATGTATGTCACCCACTGAAATCTCAGTTCTATGTCTCGGTGTATGGCCCCTTACCAAAGGCCGTGGAAAGGTGCAGAAAGAGAAACTGGGCACTGCCTGAGGTGCAGACCCAAAGCTCACACTCACACTGAAAGTTCTCTTAACCTTAATTAACAGTTTATTTAAGGATTAGTACAAGGCTAAAACAAAACAGGGGGGCTGGCTTCCACCAAACGCTACAAGCTTTGGCAACCCAGAATGCAAATTCCTCCCCGAGATGGACAGCCAATCGCAACTTACCAATCAGGTGTTGGAGCAATTCCAAAGATGTTTTATTAACTATCAACAGGACAACTGGCTTGATCTGTTGCCGTACGTGGAATACAGCTATAACTCGGTGCACAGCTCCACCGGGGCGACCCCATTTAAGATGGTGCAGGGGTACGAGGGGGGGGCCCTCCCTACAATTGTATCTGAACCAACCGGACCCAGGGACTTGGAAGTGTGGTGGTCTGACTTGGTTCAGCAATGGACCTTAATTCAAAAGACTCTAGTTAAAGCCAAAGACAATTACAAAGCCCAGGCTGACAAAGGAAGGTCACCAGAATGGGATTTACAACCTGGGGACTCTATGTGTCCACAAAGAATCTAAAGGGCTTGCAACCTGGGAAAAAGCTAAGGTGGAAATATGTGGGACCTTTTAAAGTATTACATGTCATTAACAAAGTGGCTGTTAAATTGGACTTGCCTAAGAACTTCCTGTTTTTCATTTTAGTCTGCTGAAGAAGGATCCTGGACCTTCGACGTGGAGACCTCGACCTCCAGCCCCACCTCCTCTGAGGGTGGATGGGGAACTCATCAAATGATGGAGGACACCTTGGACTCTGTCAAGAGGGACTGGTTATACTATTTGATCAAATTGAGTGATTTTGATCCAAGTCATAATGAGTGGGTTTGGGAAAATCATGTTTGGGCCAAACAGTTAATTCATGCTTTCCCTAGAACACGCCCACACAAGCCCGGGAGCTGAAGGGAGGTCTTGGGAGGGGCAGAATGTAAAGCTCAGACCTCGCTTGTCATGTATTTCCATATGGATTCACATGTACATCTACAGTTCTTATGTAACCTTGTTCCTTTCCATTCCTATTTATTGTCTCTGATGGGAACTGGGGGTGGGGGAGTGGCTGTGTATGGCTGTCTGCTTTGCTTGGTTAGTGCTACCTTGTAATAGTTCTCACGCAGGGGCCACCTGACTGTGCTGTAAA